TACGTACGTACGTACGTACGTACAGATACTTACATATACACACGTGAAAGCTCGTCTTCTAGTTTCAGGCCCCTACGAAAGGTTGCCGGTGAAGCAGCACTTCGTTCGGATAACAGGATACCCTGAACTACCAAACCCTAATTTGTAGGGTCCTTATAAATTCTATCGCAGAGCTTGTAAATAAGAACGACAAAAAAACAGGTTCTGGCAGCTTCAGGTAGGGTGTTGGGTTATAGTCTTTCTGATTACGGTCACAGGAATTAGCGTGCAGATAGGAGTTTGGAGTCTTTGAGCTGCTTTATGCAGTGCAACCTTGGGTTTTTTCGTTTCCCTTAGATGGACAGGAATTAGCGTGCAGATAGGAGTTTGGAGTCTTTGAGCTGCTTTATGCAGCGCAACCTTGGGTTTTTCCGTTTCCCTTAGATGATCTTACAGATCGAGGCATCTATCTGCACTTGCATGGACTCGGCGGGGTCCTTGAACTGCAACCCAGCTAAACCCTCAACCCAAAACACAGCAGATTGAATCCCCTGCAGAACTATAGCAATAGCAATAATGATGAACACCTTGACAATAGTAGCAATAATACCGCTGAAATGTTGAAGTGTTAAACCCCTGGCCTGTCAGGGCTGCACCCGCTTCGGGGAAATCAAAGTCAAGCCCCGAGAACCCCGGACACCCCGTCAGCACCCGAAAACTACGAAGTACCGGGGCTGCTAGATATGAGCCTTATGAGCCCTATTTTCCTATAAAGGCTGAAACCCCGAACCCTGAACCGGGCGGGTGGGAAGAAATAATGGTAGTGTAGCAAAACTCAAAGGGTACGAAGCCATGCCTGCCTGTGTGCGAGTGCGTGAGTCGAAACCCCAAAATCCTGCGAGCCGGACCCCAAAATCCTAGAGTCAGGCCTTGGTAGGAGTCCTCCCAAAAACATTCCAGGCCCCCTATAAAGCCTTCTAAACCCAGCCACTTCCGAAACAACATCCTTGGAAACCTCCTAAAACGCCCCTCTAAGACCCTTGTAACTAACATCCGCAAAAATGTTCTAATTAAAGCTTTCGTAGAACCTTATACAAACTCTCACACCAGAAGAAACTTTTCCTGCAGGCGCCTTTGTGACAGCGAGCTTGGCGTGGTCTCCAAGCAGGTGCGGGTACCTTCAGGGCCGCGGCCTAGGTATTGTTTTTTGTTATATGAGTCCTGAAAGCCGCAGGCTGTTTGAGGTTAGGATGTGCTTTAGGAATGCTGCTTCTTGGGATGATATGGGTTGGGAGTTTCGCATTTAGGGCATTGCAAGTTTCTGCGTTCAGAGTGGTTCCACATGCTTGGCTCAAAGCTGCAAGGCACAGAAATAAAGGCATTTGTCGAGTCCCTTCTTAAAGAAAAACCTAAACCCTAAACCCTAAAACCCTAAACCCTAAAACCCTAAACCCTAAAACCCTAAACCCTAAACCCTAAAACCTTAAAGCTCGGAACCTCATTGCCATGCCTGCCTTGTGCGAGTGTGTGAGTCGAAAGCTTTAAGAGTTTGAGGCTCGGTGTGGGAAGACCGAGGTTTAGCTTTCTGGGACGAGTCTGTCCTAGGGCAGAACTTGCGCCGAAGAGGGAGTCGGAGTCTCAAAGCGATGGTCGTGTTCAAGAGGGGCATGCGTGACATGGAGACATAGTTTCTGCAATATAAGTGTATAGCCTATAGAATATACCATCTTTAAGTATAATCCATGTTGAGCAGGTTCGAATCTGCTTCGAGGAATGTCGAAGTGAACTCAGAAGAGATCCGCCTGCGAGGCTAAACCTTAAACTCTAAACCCTAAACCCTAAACCCTAACATCCTAAAAACGCCTACACCCTAAACCCACCTGGAGCCAGAACTTCGAAACCCTCGTTCCGCGACCCCAAAGCCCTAAACTTGAAGCCCACGCCCTCCAGAGTTTAGGGTTAAGGGTTTACGGGGGTTTGGGGAGTTTAGGGTTTTGGGTTTAGGGTGCATACAATTGTTAAATAACCCAAGAGACGATACTTAGAAGCCCGGAGGAACCGGCCTTGCAATCGGCCGCGCAGAGATCTTGGATCGTGCGGCGACTGCTCCGCCTCTCGGAACTCTTGCAAAAGCCGCGCTCTCTTGTAAGGGTTTCCTTTCATATCTACATAAGCCATAAGCCCTAAACCCTCGCCATATCTCGGTTAAGGATTCCTGTAATGGTCTCCTTTCAAGGGTGCCAATCCAGTGTAGAAGGGGGCTCGGGTTTCGGATTTAGGTTTATGTACAGAAAAACTGTTTACTGAGCTTTGTTGGAGGGGCACAGCAGTGTTGGGGTTTGGAGTTTCACCTTTCGACTTCCAGACACCGTCTACTCTGCTGGCCGGAAGAGGCCGGAGTATTGGAAGGGTTCGATCCTTAATCTGCCTAGAGCCTACCCATAGGCCCTATAGTAGTTCCTTTTTGGGGATTACCTTATAGGATTCTATATATGAGCCCCAAAAAGGAGCTACTTTAGGGCCTATGGGTAAGCTTGCTTAGGCCACAGCAGTGTGGACCTCCACGACTTGCGCGAGGATGTGCTTGATGCGATCCACGACACCAAGACGGTCCTGCGGGGGGAGGGTTTAGGGTTTAGGGTTTAGGGTTTAGGGGTCTGGCTCGGAAACCTGCGAGGAGGTTGCTGTAATTGTAGGCCGCTTTTCAAGTAATGTAGGAACCTGATTACGAAACCCTGACCCTATAACCCCAAAGTAGTCGGAGTCATATAAGGTTCCTGCAGTACAAGTAATTAACCAGTCTTAGAGATCAGCTCACCTGTGTCTGCGCGCTGTGTAACACGAGTCGAGGACGTAGCAGCCCCGAGCCGAGTTTCGGACCTTCAGCGTGAGGTAGAGAAGTGTTTGCGTGGTACAGGCAGGGGACAGCTTACGTTCTTCGAAGAGCCTGGTTTCCAGTAGGCATAAGGCTCCTGGATTCAGCACCGATCGCCTTATGCCCCAAGCGGAAGAAGGCCGCCGAACCAAAAACAGATTGCACAAAACCCTAAAGCTCTCTTAAGCCCTAAATGCGTGAAGCTCTGGAACCCTAAAGCCTTGCTCTCTAGGGCCATAAATAAAGCACTGCAGCCCTACACCCCTTAAAGCTTTATCCCAAAGCGCTCAAGCACAGTTTGCAGGCTCGCTCCCCTTCCCAAATCAGCTCCCCTCGGTCAGGGCCCCGAGACCTAGTTGTCGCAAGGGGAGGATGGACCCAAAACCCTAGAAGCCATGGAGCCCTGTCGGAAGAGTGTTCTGCGAACCCTACCAATAAACCACTCGAAATCCTAAATCCCTAAACCCTTAAACCCTAAACCCTTAAATCCCTAAACCCTTAAACCCTAAACCCTAAACCCCTAAACCCCTAAACCTTAAATCCCTAAATCCCTAAACCCCTAAACCCCTAAGCCCCTAAACCCTAAACCCCTTAACCCTGAATCCCTAAACCCTAAGCCCCTAAACCCTTAACCCTGAATCCCTAAACCCTAAGCCCCAAAACCCCTAATCCCTGAATCCCTAAACCCTAAACCCCAAAACCCCTAATCCCTGAATCTGCTTCGGAAGAGGCTTTGGAGATGGAGAGTCGAGTTGTGCGGCTCTTTCTGGGCGACCTGCCTGGGGATGTCTTGCTTCCAGGGTTTAGGGTTTAGGG